AATTTCTAGATGAATAATTTTAAGTAAGTTGATTCTTTGACCAGCCGAGGAGCGACTTTTCTCGATAAAATATTCACAGGGTAACTATAAAAGTGTACCGCGGGTGACATGTCAAAAAGGTCTGGCAGCATATTAAAAATGCGTTTTTCAAGAGAACAAAACCTTTCCCGCAAAATCATTTTCCCTGATTTCCATCTGGTATCTGGTAGGCAAAACTTATTACACTGTAAATATGCAAGTTATGGACTACAGTGAAGTACCAAAGCAATTCCTGCATACGCATTGTAATTTCGACACGCATAAATTAAGCTCTTTCTTTCTTTTCAAACAATGGTTGAGTCGAGACTAGAAAGCTCTTTTAAAAAGTAAAGAAATGGAAGATTTTTGCATTGTCATCAAAACTCAGGTTATTGTGATCATACTTGTTTTCATGATGGCATAAGACATCCAATTCTACAAACTGGAAAAGTACCTCAATCGGAACTGATTGAAGCATAGATTAGACAAATTGGTGTCCTCGAAAATTGGAATGTGCTCTTCTCACATTAATCAGCCATACAGTTGAACCACAAGGTTACAATTTGGTGTATAAATTATCAATGGTATTCGCCGGGCTCGTTGTTTTCTAGGTGCATGAGAGATACGCTTGAAAGCTTGCGGGACGCGCGCGCGCAAGGCATGAGCGAGGAGGGAAACACGCGAGAAGAGAAAAGTCTTAGTGGGTTTTTCATACGCGTTGAACAGGTTCGTGAATCTGGAGTATCTGCTAAAGCCTCGCCAGAAATAAATAAACTCAAAAGAAATACTGTTAAACGCAGAACAAGACTTAAAGCCGTATAAAAGAAAGATTTTATAATCGTATGTTTCTAATTTGGGCTCATTACACATGATTTGACCAATGAAAATTAAAGCTAAATCGTGGCGTGTGCTGATGGATCCTGGGCGCTTCTTATTTCACATTGATACTTAACTTATCTAATTTTGATAAATTCACCTTCACGCTGAAGACATACTTCCTTTTCTGACCAAGTTTTCTAGAAAGAGCTTCGCTATGGATTCCAAGTTGCTTTTCCTCATTTTGGCTACCCTGGCGGTTGTCATGGTTACAGCAAAGGATGACTCCGACGAAATTAATTGGCGACTGCAAGTGAGTTATATAACACTTGATGTGAAAAAGTCTTTTTCGGGCTTAATTTTTGAAGGAAAAACTGAATACGTTTCACTGTTTACATCGTCACTTTTTTCTTTAATTACTAGCTACATGTAGCTAGAGTGTTCATGTTTTCCCACAGATCTTCGTTCTACCACCACCACCACCAACATCACTATCATCATCATCATCATCATCATCGTTATCATCGTCACATTCTATTTGCGAGTATAAAAAAAAAAGCAGTACAAACAATTGAAACACTTTTGATGGGGCATGAGATCCCACCACGCTTATAGCATGTTGCCGTGGTTTTTGCCGTTTTTCCAAAAAGAAAATATCCGATTTTTCTCTATCCTTGGTAGGACTTCCTGCAGATGAGGCCCCGTGGGGAAAAAGCTGACTGCAATTTGCAATCTGATTTGCAATTTGCAATTTTAAATACCATTGAAGGCTCGAAGAAACGTTTGGGGTCACTGTGTCCCTAATTAGTGTAGGGGTGTTTCTTCTCGGTTAGGGAAGACTTACACGTTGATTAAGTTTTGGTTGATTGATGGATGGATAGATGGATGGATGGCTCGTTGATTGATGGATTCAGCTTTATTGATGTGTAAGATACATGTGTGTCCATCCCGACCTTCGGTATGAAAATGTCAACGGCGAAACAAAACTTATCAATAATGATTGTAACAGTATCGGCTAAGTCAGCCCTAAAACGATTTCATTTTCCATTTTGTACCAGCATTTTTCAGGGTGATCATTACTTTCAGATACTGAGACATACCAGTGCACGTGTGAGCATTTAGTAGCAATAAAAAATTGAATGTGTGAAACTCTAAAAGCTGTCTGTCATTTTCTGCATATGTTGGTGTTGAAAACCGCAACGAACACTCGAAGTAATGAATAATGACTTATCTTAGTATCTTTCAGGCCCACCCAATCTAAGCTTTTTTTTTTTTTTTACAAAGGTCTTCTTACCATTTCCGTTTGCATTTAGTGTAAATGGTAAAAAAAACCTCGTATGCCTTTCTGTGTTCAATAACTTTCTAAACTAATTGAACCAATGTCACTCGTGAATGCGGGTTGCTCTCGTTTTCCCGCGCTTCGCACCAGCTTCACTACCTACACCATTTGTGATTGGTCAGATCGATTTTGGTTGTACGTGACTTAATTGATAATCCCTGTATTTACCAGTATGCAGTATCCATGGAGACGTAGAAATACTCCTAGTCGCGCGCTTGGCTCGCTGTAGACTTAACTTTTTTACCTTGACCTTTTTTATAAAGGAAATGTTACCTGCAAATCAAAGCTTTCTAGCTTGTACTATCATATGGTCGTTAAACGAAATCTTACTGGCTATTCGGCGGTTTTATTTTATAACGCATTAAGAGAGACCGAGGCCCAGTCCACACTACGCTGGAGAAATATGAAAACGGCGTTTTTACTTTGAAACGTAAATAAATCACCAGTCGTTAATGATTTGTGTTTGAGAAAATCTCGAGCAGGGAGGTCACAAGATTATCGTGACGTCATTGTTTTCAAACAACAACAACAACAACAACAACAACAACAACAATCTTTATTTCGTGCCCAGAAATAAATATGGACGTGCCTTCCGACGGTCCATTTTCAAAACGTTTTCTGTCCACACGAAAACGAAAAGCCGGCGTTTTCAAATTCCTCCGGTGTGAAGAGCGTTTTCGAAAAACTCTGTTTTCGTGAGATTACAGTGTGGACCGTAGGCCTAACCGCAGAAATAAAGCTGCGTTTTCTAATTCCTCCCGCGTAGCGTGGACCTGGCCTAAATCAAATTTATTTTCTGGCGGCTTTCTTTCACTTTGACAAGGAATTTTTACATGTAAAATCTTCTTTAACAAAATTAATCTTCGAGTCGACTGTCTTGAAAAACATTTTTTTACTCTCGGCGACACAGTAACATGGGAACAACTTTGCAAAATTCTCCCAAACCCATAGTAGAGAAGCAAATAAATGGATACTGTAGACGCATTGATAGCGAAAATTTTATTTTGTCTTCTTCCAAGTTATTAGTTGTAGAACTGCAAATAATTGTTGTACCTGTATAATTAACAAATCTCATCATCGCTTAATTTAGTTATTTCAATTATCATTTTTTTATTTTGCTCTCGGGGAAAAATTTCGTTACAAAGAGGAGAAACGTGCTTTAATAAACCGTGAATTTTAAACATTACAGTAGCAAATATTTACACAATCCAACATGAAGTTCTGATATAAAAGAGATCCGGCCTTGCCATTTTTACTCCCAGTTGTATATCAACTGTAAAAGAATAAACACCTGAAAGATAACCTCCGTATTTTTTTCGAAAGTTCCTATGAAATGTGTTTAAGATAACCAATATCGTGTTAAAACATTAGGAAATATCATTTTTTTTGACAATAATATAATAATGGTTTCAAGTGATTCTGAAGCCATTACTGTAAAAGTTTAAATTTGAATTTTGTGCAAGGAGATGTGAAATATGGAGGAAAACAACCCTTTTATAGCAGAAATTCTATTCCAGTTTATGGCCCTCGCTCTGTCACGCAACGTCGGTAGAGAGGGAGCCTTTCTGCCGACGTTGCGTGACAGAGAGAGGGCCAGACCTGGGATACCGAACTTTTTGTTCAAACCCAATTTAAAAATATTCTAGCGATCTGGGCCGCGATTAGGTTCTTTGCTTATGCCCGCAAGGTTTTGTCAGGCGATTCACCAAGCAATAAAGCTTATTTCCAACGCCGACAAACCAAAGCGTGTTTCATGCTACAAAATCTTAAAAAAGACCTAGTATATATTTAAAGGGGCTATGACGTACAAATGAAAGTCATTTTTACAATGTACAAAAGCATCTTGAAATCGCACCAAATCTCAAAATAATAAGGCAGAAAAACAACAGAAATAATAAAACAACTTGTAGATATACAGGTCATTTCCCCTCCCCCCGGGGGGGGGGGGGGGGACTCCCACATAAAAAGAATTGGGGTGCTTGTCGGAATTTTTGTCAAGTATCCCTAAGAGATACCAAGAACCTGTTTTGTGGGCGTGGCTTGAAATTGTTTTCACCCCAATGGGGTACCAAATTCTAAAGCAACACATTATCTCGTGTCATATTTTTTCGGCTCATTACCCTAAAAGTTACCGCAAAAACTCCTGCTGTGAAACTTTTGAGGCCGACCACCGTTAAAGGCACCAAAACCGCCTTCTGACCCCTGAACGGTACAGCGAGCACCCATGTCCCCTCCCCCCGGGGGGATATGCCCGGTTCTATTGAGCTCAGCTTTTATAAGCAGTATCTTAAGCTTCGTTTAAATAATTGGCACTGATAATTTTCAGTCAATTTCTATAAAAACTAACCCTCTGGTATATTTGTTTGTTAGCTCACGCATCGTACTCACTACGCTACGAATTTGTCAGCCTCTATATCATCTTGAAATCACAAGCAATCTTCGATACAGTAGTTCATCAACTTATACGCCATTTTCCAACGTGAATGAATGCATCTTACAAAATAATAGACTCTTAATAAATAAGTTCTTATTCCTATAAAAATGGCCATCAGACGGGGATGCGTGCCTTCACGCAGTCAGTGTTGCTTGTAATATTAATTTGTTTTTCTTGTTTATATCGATAGTTTACTGGCTTAAGTTAAACTCAATCAATCAATCAATCAGTTCGTCAGTCCGTCAGTCAGTCAGTCAGTCCGTCCGTCCGTCAGTCAGTCAGTTAGCAAGTCAGTCAGCCACACTTTACGTCCGTCCGTCTGTCAATCAGTCATTCTTTCAGTCTGTTCGTCATTCTGTCTGTCAGTCCGTCCGTCTGTCAGTCAGTCAGTCCGTCAGTCAGTGAGTCAGTGAGTCAGTCAGTCAGACAGACACAGACAGACAGACAATCAGTCAGTCAGTCAGTCAGAAAGTCCGTCCTGTGGGAATAACACAACCAAAACAACTACATTTGTATTCAACCGCCGTAAGCTTGAGTCAATTTGATTACATTTCCTTTTACAAAATGTATATCAAAATGGCATCTCGCAAAACTGTCTGTTGGCCATTTTCAACCTCCATGCTCAACATGCGAATTCTCCTCTTTGGCCTCTATACATTTTGTACACTTCTAGTTGGGAGATTTGCTTAAATATCAAGTTAAGTTCCTGTTTAATGTTGTATCTTAGGGTACCGCAAAATAAATGGTGGTGAATAAAACTCTCTATCAAGATATTCAGTGCAGTCTTCAAACCTGCCCTATGTCCAGAATTTCCTCCTCACCCTCTCCTCCCCTCTGCCTTGATCAGGAAAGAGGCGGAAAAAGGAAAGACACTAGCAATAAAGTTGTCTCGAATTGCCTCGCGAATTTCTACATAGGACCGCAATGCATACATGCGGGTTATTGTGTTCAGTTGATGTTAGCGGGGTTTCGTTTGCACAGAAATTTTGCAAACAGCCTCAATATAGCCCTAATTCTCACCATTTGAGCTTAAGTTCTCGCGGGAGTAACAGGAACAGGATTTCTATCAACTCGAAGCATTCTGGAATGTATTTTAACTTATCATCAACGTTTTCACGCGAACAGAGGAAACATTTACCACTGTCATGCGAACAGAGGCAACATTTCATACCCTGTGGAGTGTATTAAGCGTTGAAACCTTCGCCAAGCTTGATTAACTTCACTAAAAGTTCTGTTGTCTCTTCTTCTTCGCCTCCATCGCATCAAGAATAGGTTGTCTCTTGGCCTGGTATCGCGCTCTGAGTCCTTCAATTTCTTTCTCCATTTCCATGTCCAGTGTCTGCATTCGGCTTTGTAATTCCTCGCATGGCAGTGACCGTAACTGCCAAGTAAAAAAAGAATAACTGATGCCTTTTTGATCAACATTGAAGTCAAGGTCATAACACTTCACGGTTTTCACAAATGCCTTGAGAATTTACTTCTCACACTGCATGTACAACGTAAATTGTAAAATCCCTTAGAGACTGGGCACCACTTTTGAGCGCTTGGTTTTCTGGGATCGTTTGAGTAGGAGAGGGAATTGAACACCACATTCCCCTTTACATTCCCGCGTGTACCCCCGCCTTGACTGTAGACAATGACAATGATCCCCCCCCCCTTGTCTCGTATCTTTGGAACATCAATCATTTGTTACTTACAAATTCAAAGTCAGGGGGGCCTGCCTTCTTGAGTTTAAACGGATCTTCAGGTTTTGCCCCCCTCAGTAGTCCCCCGGAGTCCTCCCCAGACGAACCGTTGGCACCGGAGTCGCTTCCCCGTCCTCCTGCTTCAAATATTCTGTCAAAGTGATCCATAAATGAAGGACGATAGTTCTGTTTAGCATCGCTGTCCAATCCTTTGAAATAAAAGAAAGCTACGTTACTGGGACTGTCACTGCAGCTGTGCGTGGGAGAGAGGGCCAGGGCTCCTGAATGTGGAGGTTACAAAACAGTTCAACCCGTGTCCCGCGGCCCGCGGCCCGAGGCCCGTAAGAACGATCTCCTAGGAAGCTTAGGGAAAATCAAAACAGAAAGGAGAACATCGTTAAAGAAAAGGTTTAATGAACAGACCTGGGTTGTTCGAAAGCTGTCCACCGGATAAATCACTATCCAGTGGATAGCGTGGTTTGTTTCCTCAACACTGATTCACTGGATAGCGATTTATCCGGTGGATAGCATTATCCAGCCTTCGAACAACCGGGGCCAGAACAATGGCTGTGCACGTGCGTTATAATTCTTGAGTACATTTCTTTGCTGTCAACTGCAAAACAACAACGTGAAATGACCAAATTCTGCGTTGTCTGTAGAATGTGAACCACGACGGCGAATTTTTTAAATTTGTTTCGAATTTAACTTTGTGTTCGTATTCAGTTTCGAGAAACATGTAGTTTTCACGACGAAAAAAAGTTTAATGACTTTAGAGTATGGAGAGATTCGTATGTAAAGTATACATTCACTTTTTCCTCGCTGTTGTCTTCGGCGTCGCCGTCGTGGTTTTTTAAATACCCTAATATTTTTCCCAAGCTGTGGACTGCTGAAGGCTTTACTGGTTACATAGACCGATATAAACACAGGAAAATGAACGGAAATTCGAAAGTATATGTAGACACGAGCCGCAGGTTCTTCTTTCCAAAGTAATAACTCATTATTGAAATCTTCGTTTGCGAAGCCAAACATTCGGTTACCAGTCGTTTAGCCTCCAAGTCAATTAGCAGTTAGCCCCCAACCAGAAGTCGATTAGCCCCCATTCACGCTTAAAGAACGAGAAATAGACAGTGTTTTCGACTTCTGGTTGGGGGCTGCACGGTTAGGGGCTAATCGACTTGGGGTCAGCTAAAACGACCGGTTTCCAAATATTCCTTCAAAGCTTACTTTTCATCGTGGCGTCCTCGTCTTCATCAGAATTAATCACCATTGTTCCCAGATCAGATTCCAACAGTGTACCTGCCTCACTGTTCACGATCATCGTATCTTGACTCTGCACACTGGACGCTGTGTTTACTATCATCGTGTTATCATTACCATCGCCAACCTTCACAATTGTCCCCGAGTCGATATGATCATCGACTTCCTCCGCTTCCTCCTGTGGCGAGGAAGAAAAGTGTTTGACATACCGCGAACACTCTCTTCTTTGATCAACCAGTAGTTTACGCGTACTCCCTTATTTTTCTCAGGGTTTTCTCAGTTTCTCACGAGAGCGCGCTAGCACACGAGCACGCGAGCACACGAGAACACGAGCACACGAGCACACAAACACCTGAACACGCAAGCACACGAGCACGAAAGGACGTTCAAGTCATGCAAAACGTATCCTCGTCCAACGCACGTCCTCCCTACTCGACTTAATCTGAGAAAAATAAGAGACTTCTCCTATTTAATTCCAAATGGTATTTATGGTTGCCCAAAACCAGGGGTAAAAGCTCACACGACATTGTCGAGGGGTATTAGGGAAAACAGTGGTTCACGTTGCTTGATTGAAGCTTAAAGTGTTTCAGCGTGACAGAAGGAATCAGCACAAACACGTGTATTCACGCGTTGTTCTTCCTTCTTGCTGAAACACCGTGAACCTCAATCAAGCAACGCCGAACTATTGCTACCCATAGTACCAATCGGCATTGTCGCGTTCGCTTTTACGCTTGTGTGAAAAACTTTTTCGACACAGCTGTATCAGTGCACCTTAGCACCACCTTTTGCTACAAGGAAAGTTAAAAGAAAGTGAATCTTTGTCACGCATAGTGTAACATCAAGCCTATGTATAGAAGTGTTTATGCTAAGCTCAACTGTAAGCCCCAGACGATAAAATACCTCAGTAACAGCGCATTAAAAGCAGCTAACATCAGTGTTCACTATAACCGGGCTAACTGGTGTCGGAACTTAATAACTTAAGATGGGGCTATGAGAGGTTAACTACAAGGATAGAATGGGGGTGGGGGGAACATGGAACAGGGGGCTTAAAACACGGGGGATTAGATCACATCGTACCTTGTCTTCCTGGCTAGTCTCTGAACTTACCAACTTCAGAGGGGGCTTTGAGGGGTTAACCACAGGGACAGGATAGGGGGAGATGGGGTGGGGGAGGGCAGGGGCCAGAGGGCTTATAACACGGGAGATTAGATTGTATCGTACCTCGTTTTCCTCTCGCGCACTTTCTTCTTCCATAATATTCAGCGCTTCTTGGATCATGTTATTGAGTATACTGACAGACTTTGCTTCCTGGATAAACGAATGCTGTAACAGAAAAAAAGTCATTCAGATAGTAACACTTTTAATCATTGTACTCACCATGCTACAAAGTGCTTTCAAGAAAGTTTGTTCATTACCTTTGACTGCCTACATGTACCATCTTTGTTTATTTATTTATTTTTTTTTCAAGTTGGTATGTACTTTTAAATGTTTTGGTTCCAATCTTGTAATACAACTCAGCACAATACGAAATACCATAAATATCTGCTCCCACCTAGTTATTCATTCGTGAATTTGGATATACTAAGTAACAGGCTATTTCTGAGTTACCTTGTGCCTCTGTTTCAAAACGAGTCTATGTGCAAAACCTTTCATATGAAAATGGGTTTAATTTGCATGAAAATAAACCTGTAAGTAGAACTCATTTTCATATGAATGATTCCACATGAAGACTTGTCTTCACACAAAGGCAAAAGACAACTTGGAAATGTCCCATAGGTTGCAATTCTTTTCGACTTTGTTCAAATGACTACAGTAAGTTTTTTCCTGAGTAAACTTACCTGTAATAACTGCGTGGCAGTCGCTCTATCCTCTGGATTTTTTACAAGACATTTGCTTACAAAGTCTAAGAATTCTTTACTCCATCTGTCAGCATCTTTAAAGGTGGGAGGCGGTTTTGTTGGAATCATAAATATCGCCTGTAACAGAAGTAGCAGATAAAAGCTTACTGCAGGAAATCAATGCTGGCATTTTTAACAACATCTTTTAAAATCTATGCCAATATGAGGGTAAAGTTATTCAAAATATAAGCTTATGATATTAATAACATCCTTAAGAAAAAGAGAATATATCCTGCTGAAAGAAATCAATGTGAATCCAACAAAAAATGATTTTTTTTTTTACCACAGCAAATGAGAGCACAGACAGACTGACATGGAGGTACAAACTGATATTAAGTGTGACATCACGGAAAATTTTGAAACTAAAGTATTTAAAGATTGACCTTTGCAAACAGAGACAGATGTTAAAGTTTCCTTTTTAATTTACAAAACTTGCACCAACATTTTTATTATACAAGAGGACATCACAGTTCAGAAATGTTGGTCAAAATGACAGAATTAAATG